TCAACTTGTTCTATAGACAAAGGGCTAATTCCCTAATTTATAAAGAGCTGTTACAACTCAATAAGGAAAAGACCAATAATCAATACAAAAATAGGCAGAGGCTATGAGCAGACAAGAGATCCAAATATATGAAAATCTTCTCAATCTCCTTCATTTTAACGAAAATGAAAATTAAAACTGTATTTAGATATCATTTTTTCCCCGTCAGATTAGCTAATACTGTAAAAATAGATGAAATATTGTGTTGAGAGTGTTGGAAAGTGCTTGCTTGCATATTTGGTTGATGGGAACGTCCTGAGCAGTGGCCCTAGGAAGGACAATTTGGCAGTGGCTATGAAAACTACACATGTATATTCATTTGAGGCAGTAATTCTATTTCTATGAACTCACAAACATGCCTGCAATTGTGGGAAATGGCATGTGGTACAAACTTATTCATTTGGTAGCATGCTGTGTAAGGGCGAAAGGCAAAACCTGACTGCAAGTAATCTTTCATCAATAGAAGACCAATTAAATTAATGGCACAGTGGAGTACTATACAACCATAAAAAGAATGAGAAAGCTGTCTGTGTACTGCCATGAAATCAAATCCAAACTGCATTGTTAAATGAAAAGAGCAAAGAGTGGAACCATGAGTTGGGCATGCTGTTTGTGTAGGAAGGAGGGAGACACATAAATTATTTGAGCAGTACCCCACACATAGCAGATCTTCAATCATCATTTTGTGGAACTGAATGCATGAAAATCCTGTAGTGGTGGGGCTCACAGTTCACACTGACCCATCTGCTACCCATGCTTCTGTTCGTTACCCCAGGCCAGCCCATGTGGGTGGGAGTGTTCAGGGCTATTCAGTGAAGCAGCAGGGGTGAGCTAGTGTGTGACCCCCCAGGGGATGGGCTCTGACCAGGAGCTGCAGAACATCCTAGGTTCCTGGATGTGGAGGTGAGGTGTCGGCACCTGCCTCTTGTCCCCCTGCGTCCTACACATTCTCCTACCTGGTTTCACTGAGTAGTGTTGCCTGAGATGCTACTCAGTGGCTTGTATTTTTCCAGGCTGGTGAAGCCATAAGCTGGTTTCCTGGCCCAGGCCGTACTGGGATGGTGGTCAGTCTTCCTCCTTCTCCTTTCCCTTGCCCACTTGCCAATTCTCAGCTCTTGACCCAGGCCCACTGGGCCCCTCATCTGCATGGTGTTATACTGCGGTCCTTTCCTCTTTGCTCCCACGGTCTCTCCTTCCCACAAGCCAGGAGAAAGGCCTGTGGACCTCTGCCCATGACACTTTGAGAGGCTCTGGCTTTCTTCAGAGCCACAGGACTAGAACAGCTATTGTGTGGAGTGTTTATTAAGTCCTGGGCACTGTAATAAGTGCTTTCATTCACTATCTCAGGTGTTTATTCAAAAATATGTATTTAATGCTTACTAAGTGAAGGCACTCCTTTGGATCTGGAGTATAGCAGTGAACAAGGCACTCCCATGGAACTAAGACCCTAGTAGGAGAGATGGACAACAAACAAAAAATTGCTTATTTTCAGATAGTGGTCAGTACTGTGAAGGAAAATAAAGCCAGTTAAGGGCACAGCGGGTAATGGGGTTGCAATTTTAGATAATGGGCTCAGGAAAGATCTCACTGGAGGAGGGGCCTGAATGAAGGAGTGAGCCTGGAGAACAGCAGTGGGAAAAGCATTTCAGGTAGAGGGAACAGCAAGTACGAAGGCCTCAGGTGGGAAGGCAGTGAGTAAGAGGAAGAATGGAGGAAAGAAGGTCAGAAAGGCAACCCGGGTCACATAGGAGGGGTGCTGTAGGCGATGGGAAGGGCTTTGGATATAGTCTATGGAGCCACTGGCGGGAATTGAGCTTAAGAAGTTGGCGTGATTTTAGACGAGGGAGTTGAGGCTGAGAGAGGTCAAGTAACCTGTCCAAGGTCACACAGTAAATAAGGGGCAGACCCCAGGTTTGTACAAAGTGACTCCTCCAGGATGTTTTTGGAATGCAGGGTGCTCGCCCTCTTCCAGGAACTCCAATGCTACCATCCCAAAGGCTGGCCAAGGGAGGAGAGAGGGACCATGCTTCCACAGGTTGCTCCAACACCCTGGCACATGCCATGGGCACAGCCAAATGCCATGGGCATGCCTGGGCTGGTTGGGGGCTCCTGGAGAGTGGGCAGGGTGGCAATGGCTGAGTGCCATGCCAGCTGGGCCCGAGGAAGTGCTGACACGGCACAATGTCCCTGCTCCACACCCCGCCCACTGTCGCTGAATCAATGGGATCACTCAACTGAAAAATTAACTCAAACCCACAGACATCCCTGAAACCCATAGAAGGTGGCCAGCACTGAGGCTGCTGGGCACTGTTGCCTTGCCCCCACCCTGGGGGCCGGCTCCGGCCTCTCCCAGTGCACACTTATGACCTCGATCTCAGGAGCCCAGGGCCTTTCTGGCGCCTCCACTGTGCCTGCCTTTCTTGACTTCCCTCAGTTGGCAAACCCTCTCTCAGGCCCAACAGCTCACGCCTGCCTGTTCTTCCTGGGATTTATTTATCAAATTTTAACTTAGCTCTTAGGATGTGTAATGTCTGACTGGGGCCGAAGGGGGCCACAACATGAACGATACAAGGTTTTGCCTTCAAGGAGCTTAGAATACAGGCAGGGGATTGGGAAAGGGGACTCAGATACTCAGAGTAACACAAGGCTGTGTTGAGGATAGAGTGTAAACTTCATGAGGACAGGATTTTTGTGTTTTATTCACTGAAGCATCCTCAGTCCCTAGAATAGTAAGTGCTCAGTAAATATTTGTCCAATGGATGAACACGTTAATAAATGAGTAGGATTGTTGTGAGGCTGAGCATGAAACTAGCATGTTCTGAGGTAGTGGCCTTCCATCTTGGTGTATGGGGAATTGCCTGGAGGTCTTTACCATCTGGTGACTGCATCCCACTCCTAGAGGTTCTGATGGGATTGACTGGAGTGCCGCTTAGCTGGGATTGTTGAAAGCTCCCCAGGTGACCCTAATGTGCAGCCTGGGCAGGGAACCAGGGCTCTGGGATTCACAATGCAGCACTCTAAGAGCGTGGGAGGGGCTGCTGCTTCAGAGACACCTGGTGGCTGCCACAGCAGGTGCTCTGTGCTTGGTGAATAGGGGATGGTTTGTCCCCTTCCTCTGGCATCTGCTTGCTGAGCCCACACTTCCACAGTTCTCCTTGCTCCAGCTTCCCAGCCTCTGGGAGACTTCCTGGGGACTCACCCCTTCTGCAGGCATTCCTTGACACTGCTCCGTTTCTGACCTTGTCCCACATTAAAGAGCTGATCTGCCCATCAATTAATTGTGTCCTAATCCAATCTTGGCTTGGCTGGAGAGAGGGCAGTAAATCCAGCTGCATAATCATGCCCTGATATTTGTGTAGGGATAATTACTATCTCTCAGGCCTCACTTGGTGGCAAGATGAGATGAAAACCCATAAAACACCACTCAGGGCTGTGGCTCATTGTTTCTTGGCTGCATGAGGCTGGCTGCCAGCCAGACAGCACTGCCTGCCCCTGCCCCTGGCATGAACCCTAACCTCTTCCCCTCCCATTCATGCAACTGCAGGACTCAACATTGGGGCAGTCTAGGGGCTGGATCCTGGCTTGGGCTCAACAACCAATAACGGTAATGTCGTGGCTCAGGAAAAAGCCAGTGTATATGTGTCAGGGTGGGGAGTGGAGCACAAGGAAGGTGGTCCTCATAGCCAGGCAGTTACCGGCCTCCAGGAGGTTAGGAGGTCCAGGATGATGACTGCTCAAGTCTGAACCACAGAGCTTCATCCAAAGCAGACCCGAAAGAGGGCTGCCTTCTGGAGGAGCCCACTGCATATTCAGCCTGGCCCCACAGGGACACAGGGCCCTACATCCCTCACAGTGTCCCTCATCTCGGGACACTGTGGCCTGGGACTTCCACAGAGATGTTACAGCCCCACAGGCCTGGGCTGAGATCCTGAGGTCTGAGCCTGAGAAAATGCAAGCATCAGGAGTGGGAAACAACCTTGATCTGCTGCCACAAGGGCACAGCCCCCAAATCCTGAGACACTGAGCAAGCACTGCAAGCTAGGCTCTCCAAGAGGCAGTGAGGACACAGGGTTGAGGAAAGCCGTAGAGCATCTTGATTAAGAGGATGGATCTGGAGTCAGACTCCTGGGTTTGAATCCTGGGACTTACAAGCTGCGTGGCCTTGGGCAAGTCAGGTAACCTCTTTGTGCCTCAGTTTCCTCAATTGTACAGTGGCATTTACCAGTACCTGCTAATCGAGGTGTGTGAGGCCTAAATGAGATAATTAATGTAAATGCTTATATCAGGGTCTGACACACAATAGGTGCTACTTAAGTATTAACTGTTATTATTGTCACTGTCATTTAGCCTTCTGGGCATCAATTTCCCTCATCCATTCCTTAGCACGCAGGACCTTGTTACTGAAAGAGTGGTCCCTGACCCAGAGGCATCGTCATCATAGCCTGGAAATGGGTCAGAAGTGCAGGGTCTCAGCCCCACCCAGACCTGCTGAATCAGTCTGCATTTGCACAAGACCTCTAGGGGATTCGGATGCACACTTCAGTTCGAGAAGCTCCTGCAAGAAAAGGCTCCATGAACTCAAGGTCTCTCTTCTATACAGTTGTATCCTCAGCACCTCTAGGCTGGCATAGTGTAGGTGCTTGGCAAGAATTTGGGGAGAGGGGTGAGGAGGACTCACATTAGGAGGTGGTGGTGGGGATACTCAGTCTGAGGGAGAGCCTCGGTCTCTGCTCACCCTGTCCATCTCCAGGCCCACAGTTCAGGAGATGAGACCTACAGGCTCAGACGCAAGAGAAGAAGTCATTCTGGGACCCAGAGAGGTCCTGCGGCAGCAGGGGGCAGTGCCTAGGGGGACGATGACAGTTGCCTGAGGAAGGGCCAGGGTTCCCACGGCCCTCCCCAAGTTGGTGCTGGGAGGGAGAAGATGGGAAGCAGGAAAAGACCTGAGCCCTAGCCCTTACCTGAGAAGGCGTTATTGGTGTTGAGGAAGTAGATCTCCTCCCGGCCATCGCCGTCGATGTCGCAGGCTGTGACCCCGATGGCGTTCCCCTGCCTGTCCCGCAGCGCGTAGTAGGGTGAGCTGCGCTCGTCGACTGCGATGTTCACCAGCCGCTTCTGGGCCCGGTCGTACTTCAGAACCAGGTTGGGGCCATTGTACCTGGAGGAGGAATGGGGAGGGGATGCTGGAGAGGAGCCGCTGGGCCCACTCAGTCCCATCCGACCAGTACAATGGGTTGGGAGTCCTCCCAGACACGCTATGAGGCAAGTCAGCCCCAGAGTGTTCCTAGGGAACCCGGCCAGCCTTGCCTCACGGAGCCCTGAGTGTTGGATGAGTGTCCCTCAATCAGATTCGGGCTCGGGTGCAGTGAAAGTCAGCAGGGGCCATGTGGGACACCATATAAGCAGCTGGGTGGTGGAGGGAAGTGGGAGCCACGGACAGACCCTTCCCACAGGCTCCACTGAGGAAAACAAAGAAGTTCTTGACGCTCATCTCGCCCATTTCAATGCAAAAGGCACTTTCACATTTATCATCTCATTAATTTAAATTTAACAATCAAGAGAGGTAGGCATGTATTAGTAACCCGTTTTATGGATGAGGCAACCGATGAGGTTTATCAGGGAAACTAAGGCTCAGAGAGGCTGAATGCCCTTCCAAGGTAACACAGCCTAGGAAGTGTCAGGTGCTGGGAGTTGAACCAAGGCCCTTTCTACTATCCGGAGTCCCGAGTCTCTGTGTGAATGAGCCCTGGAGGAGCAGGACGCTTTGTTGTTGAGGTTTAAACAACTCTCCTGACAAAGTCACCGCATTTCAACAGAGGGATGAAATTAGCCTCTCAGTTGGGAGAACACGAACATGTCTAAAGTTATTAGACAGACCTGCTGGATCTTTTTCTGAGAACTCAAGACAAAAGGTTAAAAGGCATCACTACTTATCTCTCCTCCGTCTCACTCTCCTGCGCCTGCAACTCCCTCCTTGCTGCACTGAAGCCCAGGCACGTTCTTGCCTCAGGGACTTTGCACTTGCTGTTCTCTGCCTAGGATGCTGTTCCTCCAGACATCCACACCGCTGGCTCCCGCCTTCATCTCCCTTAAACCTTTGCCCCCCCTGTTCCTTCTCAGTGAGGCTTTGCCTGCACACGCTCCAAAAATTAGCAACCACCCCCACCACTGCACCACCACCCTGTTCTCTATCTCTCACTAATGCTCTTCCCAGAGCTCTGACCAACAGCTGACAATTCCATATTCTCATTTACCTCTTCCTTCTCTATCTGGTCCCATTAGAATGTCAGCTCCATGAAGGCAGAACTTCTTGTCTGTTTTGTTCCCCAGTGCCTAGAACCATGCCTAGCATTCAACAGGTGCTCAATAAATATTTATTGGCTAATTGAATGAATGAAAGCTCAGAGCTCATGTCTGAATCATAAAAACTCAGGTGTCCCATGGTCGATTTCTTTGCATCACCCTCCCATATGGAGAAAACAAGGGACCTGCAGGGAAGTCAGCGTGCCCAAGGTCACACCCCAGGCAGCACAGAAATGAATGTCTGAGGCCTCTTCCTGCCCGCTGGGAGCACCAGCTTGCCAGGTTCTCCCAAAGAATGGAACAGACCTCATCCACAGGGTCCCCCACCTCTTCCTATGTTTCAGCCTGAATGTGCACATTCAGAGGGAAATGCAGATACTGGCTCCGGAGGGCCTCCAGCTGGGAACACCTTGTTCCAGGAAGAGCTCTCCAAGGTCTTCGAGATAAATCACTTCGAGAGAAATCACTTCTTTCTTTCCTGAAACAAATCCAGTCTGGCCTGCTGCACCATCCCAAGATGCAGAAGCCAGCGAGGTTTAGGGGATGCTGAGCAGCTGGCTGGGCACCTTCTGGCCCCCATAGGGTGTGAAAGGAGAGACAGAGCTCCTGGGGGCTGAGTTAGCGCCCGGTGATGGGAGGTTGCGCCTTAGACACCTTGACGAAGAGCGTCTGAGGGCTGCATGTCCAGGGCGTGGCATGACCTATGGAGATGTGTCTAGCCAAGGGCCAGAGGAGACAGGCACTTGGGTTCCAGAACTGTCAGCAGCTGGCTCCAGTGCTCGGGGACAGGAAGTGCCTGTGAGGGCTGAACACGAATCTTGCAAGCCTTGGGGTCTTCTGCTTTTCCATGACTACTGCACCTTGTAAGATGGCTGTATTTGTGGAGTGCCTGGCCTTGTTAAAAGCACCCTCACATGCATGGTCTCCCTTGAGCCTCACACCGTCTCAGAAGGAAGGTAGGCAAAGCATTTTTCCAGAAAAGGAAACTAAAGTGAGGTCCAAGGTTACACAACTTGTTAGTGGCAGCGCTGGGCCTCTGTGTCTTCAGGGTCCAAACCCCAAGTCCTTTCCGTACTGCCTATGATGCCAGCACTCTCAGGCTTGTTCATTTTTCCCCCTGGCTGCCTCCCACAAAGTAGTGCCCCTGAGAAATGCCTGAGAACTTCACGGAGATGTAGCTGGTGAAGATTACTGTAGTCTTACATTTCAATAGCACTTTACACTTTACAAAGCACTTTCTCATCCTTGGGCTCATTTACTTCTTAAAGCTCCTAGCTCTGCCAGAGATGGTGGCCTTGGGCTGGTCAGTTCTCTCTAGGCTCTGCATTTCTCTTCTGTGAAATGCAAGAGTTGGACAAAATCTGAGGGTCATGATATGTGTGGTAAAAGGCAGCCCCGGGGGCCTGCTGCTCCATTCAACTAGAGCATCTGTGTGTTAATGCATTTTGTTTTATGCATCACATTCCACAACACATTGTTTGAACAAGGGATTCCAGAGCTGGAGTTTAAAAGCCCCTGGACTCTGTGGGTCCGTGAGTCTCACTAACCTTATGAGATGATCAGAGCAGGTGCTCCCTGTCCCAGGCTGTGGCTTGGCTGAGAAGCCACCACAGAAACCCAGCACTGACACCCTTCCTCTGCACCCCTGCCCCTTGGGTCTCCTAGAATGTCTTCACCACCCCCTGAAGCCAGCTCCCAGTGAGAGGTGAGGGATCATGGCCTCCTCACATATTGGAGTCCAGTCCTTCTGCCCTGAATCTGGAGTAGCTGGGGTACACACAAGGTCCCTGCACCATGGTAGTAACCCCGGAAAGGCAGTTGGTCCTGGCTCTCTCTTTAAAGAGTTTTGGGCACCAGTTCCAGCGGTGAGGTTGCTAGGCTGGGTCAAATTCTTTGATCTGTTACAGAGTGAGCACACGCCACAAAGCCTTCCCTAAACCTATGTGGTAGCTTGGGATGCATCCTGACACTCTGCCCCTCATCTCCCCCAGCCCCCACTGCCTCCCAGGACTACGGATACAAAGCCAGACCAACAGCTCCTAGGTTGGGTTCTTGGCACCCCATGGTGCAAGGCCAGGGTAGTGCCTGGAGTTGCCACTCCCTCCTTTCACCCAGGCTGCTCTCTGCTGAGTCTGCTGGACCAACACTCAGAGCCTCTCACAATCCCCCAAGAAAACCAGGACAACCAGCCTTCTTCCCTCCCCCACTTCTTGAGACTGACGCTCCTGTTTGCTTCCTCACCATCCCCTGAGTGTGCTCTGCCCTTTCCAGCTCCTGTGGTTTTGCTCAGCTGCAGCGGTCCCCTCCCACAGGGAATGCTCTCCCCACCTTCTCAGCCTCCCACGAAGCCTGTCCTGACTGCCCCTGCTGGATGTGACCTTCTCTTCTCTGGAAACCCACAGCAGTTTGCTCCTTGCTTATTCCTGTGCGGCCAGAATTGTTTGTGTTCCAACATCACTTTCCTCATTAAAACGTGCTTCTTGAGCTCAGGAAGCATGTGGAGTGGATGCATCTCTGCATTTGCTGTGCCTGGAGCAATGCTTGGCACAGAGCAGGTGCTTAACAAATGTCTATTTGATGCAAGAACGAGTGAATCAGTGGGTGAATGAATGAATGAATAAAAATAATCATGGGTAGCATTAGCAGAGCAGCCACTGTGTGCCGAGAGTTATGCTAAGTGCTTTGTACCCACTGTCTCATTCCATCCTCACAACGAGGAGGACATGGGTCTTATTAACACCCCATTTCACAGACGTGGAGACTGAGGTTCAGAGGTTAGATGACTTGCCCACTGTCACTCTGCTGGCAGTCCCCACGCTGACGAGCCTGAGAAGCTGGGTGTGAGCTATGTGGGCTTACACACTTTCTCTGACACCTGTCAGAGACTTTTGGGCACTTTTATAAATTCTGAAGACTTCGAAGCTCAGTTAAATGGAGCCAGGAAGTGGGGCAAAGTCCCATGTTTTGAAGCAGCTATGGCTTCCCAAGCGATGGGCCAGCAGGCCGGGGTGATGGGCTCAGTGGAACTGTAAAGTCTGCTTGAGAGACGCCATCAAAGGCACAACCGACCCGTGCTGTGAGAACCATCCCATTTTGGTGCCAGTTCACTGGGACAGCACCACTGTGGGGAGAGCAGGGTCCTGGGGTTTGCCGAGAGCAGCCTGGGGGTGGGGTTCTGGCCCTGCCACCTCCTGGCTCTGACCCCAAGCTTGTCCCTCGATTCTTCTAAGCTTTGGCTTCTGCATCTGGAAAGGGGGCTGCTGCATACCTCGCAGGATGGCTGTGAGGATGAGGTGCCAGAGTGTGTGTGACAACACTTTGTAAACTGTGAGGAGTTACACAATCAGAAGTTCTTATCATTATTTAGAAAAACAACAAACCTGGGGCACAATCTCTCACTCTCCAGTGATCATGTTGATATTTCCAAACACACTCCAGCATTTCTTGTCCCCAAATATCCCACCCTCGGTAGCTCATCCTCTGCAGGCATATTTCTTTATTCCCATATAAAACCAAACTTCTCTCTCTACTTTCCCGCTGCCTATTTGCCCCACCCCCATCCACCTTCCTACCCCAATTCTGACACAGCTTTTCCTGCTACTGTCATGGGTGGCACCCCACCCACATCTCGGGGTGCCCTCTTCTGTCCTCATGACCCTCGGCCTCTCAGCTGTATCTGGCACAGTTGTTGCTCTCTCTGCCTTTTCCCCACCGCTGTCTTCTGAAAGCACTCTCCCCTCTAGGCCGAGGAGGCCATCCTCCTCTGTTTCCTGCTCTCTCTCTGGCTTCCTCTCCTTTCCCCACCATAATTCCTTCTTCCTCTCCCTTCCCTTTTAATGTTGGAGTCCCCAGGCC